CCTCTATATATGTACATACTAATGCGTTTTTTGTTGATTATACGTAGAAACAGAGAATGGATAAGAGTTGGATGCGGGCTAAAAAATTTTCAAAAGCTTACATAGATGGGGTAAGCATTTTTATGAGATTTGTAGAAGCTCATTTGGGAAATGAATGCGAGATTCGATGTCCGTGCACAGGCTGCTTGAACTTATTGTTTAAAGATCAAAAGACGGTTAAAAGTCACATCTTGATGCATGGGATAGATCCAGGGTATGTCACGTGGTTTTATCACGGTGAACCAATCTCAAGTAACCGAGCGAGTCAGCATGCTTATGTGGAAGATAAACATCATTCTGGGTCAGTGCACCAAAATCATGACGAATATGAAAACGATGGTGTTACCGACATGTTATCTGACCTTGGGGAGCAGTACTATCAATCTGATACACATGACGGCAATAATATAAACACAGGCGGAGTACCAACATATCTTGAGGCATTGATGAAAGATGCCAATGCAGAATTATACCCAGGATGTAAGAAAATCTCAAAGACATCTTTTATCATCCAATTGCTCCACTTGAAAGTTTATAATAAACTGAGTAATAAAGCCATTGATATGTTATTGAGTTTGATAAAATTAGCATTGCCGGACGGAGAGTCACTTCTAAGTTCTTATTATGAGGCTAAAAAGTTTTTGCGAGATCTTGGATTAGGATATGAGTGCATTCATGCTTGTAAAAATGATTGTGCGTTATTCTGGAACGAGAATAGGAACCTGGAGAGTTGTCCTATTTGTGGATCCTCTCGGTGGAAAGTTAACGATGGCGCAGGGAAGAAGACACCAGAAAAGATTTTAAGGTACTTTCCTCTGAAACCCAGACTCCAGCGCCTTTTCATGTCTGAGAAAGTATCATATGGTGTGGCATAAAGAGAAACGCATTGATGATGACTATATGAGGCATCCTGCGGACTCCCTTGCATGGAAAGATTTTGATAGTGAGTTTTCTTGGTTTGCAAAAGATCCTAGAAATGTTCGACTTGCTTTGGCTGCAGATGGTTTTAATCCATTTGGAAACTTAAGTACCACTTACAGCATGTGGCCGGTAGTTCTTGCTCCATTAAATCTCCCCCCATGGGATTGCATGAAACAACCGTTCTTTATGTTGTCTTTGCTTATTCCTGGGAAGAAGTCACCTGGAAAAGACATTGATGTCTACCTACAACCATTGATTCAAGAGCTGAAAACATTGTGGGTTGATGGTGCACAAACCTTTGATGTTCGTCGTAAAGAAACTTTCAATTTACATGCTGCTGTTTTGTGGACAATAAACGACTTTCCAGCATATGGGGATCTGTCTGGGTGGAGCACAAAAGGTTACATGGCCTGTCCCACGTGTAATGAGAAGACACATTCTTTGAGATTGCGTAATAAGATATGTTACATGGGGCATCGACGCTACTTACCGAGAGGTCATCCTTGGAGGAGAAGTAAGAAGTTTGATGGAAAAATAGAAGACAATGAGGCACCTCGAGATTTAAGTGGGGAGGATGTGTTAATGCAGCTACGAGGATTACAAAATGTTATTCCAGGGAAGCATGCCAACAAAAAAAGGAAGCGACACCCTGAGGAGTTAAATTGGACTAAACGCAGCATTTTCTTTGATTTGCCTTATTGGACTAAGTTGAAATTAAGGCACAATTTAGATGTAATGCATATTGAAAAAAATATATGTGAGAGCATCTTAGGAACCTTGATGAGTGCAGAAGGGAAAACAAAAGATACACTTAATGCCAGGCGAGATTTGGAGGACATGAAAATTCACAAAGAGTTGCACTTGATCAATTCAGGTGATGGAAAACATGTGATGCCTGCAGCTTGTTATGTAATGAAAAGGAAAGAAAGACGTGACTTTTGTGAATTCCTAAAGTCCGTCAAGTTTCCTGATGGCTATGCATCCAACATCTCTCGTTGTGTAAGTTCAAGTGATCAAAAGATATTCGGATTAAAGAGTCATGATTGTCATATTCTTTTACAACGAATACTTCCTGTTGGGATTCGTGGGTCCTTAAATAAAGAAGTATGCGAGGTATTGGCTGAATTAGGCAGTTTCTTTCAACGCATATGCTGTAGGAAGTTGAAAAAAACAGAATTGGAAAAAATGAGAGATGATATTTGTTTGATATTGTGCAAACTAGAGAAGATATACCCTCCTGCATTCTTTGACGTCATGGTTCACTTGTCAATCCATTTGCCGAATGAGGCATTGATAGGTGGCCCAGTTCAATTTAGATGGATGTTTCCAATTGAACGGTAATTCATATTAAACTATGAGCTTCTTATTTATAATTCTTCTTGTGAATGTTTTTTATAATATTGTTTTTTTTTTTTTTGATTTTTGGGCGACTTGAAGCAAGGTGTAACTAATAAAGCTCATCCAGAAGGATCCATTGCAGAAACATACATTGCAAAGGAGTCATTAACTTTTTGCTCCATGTACTTGCGGGGAATTGAGACTAGATTTAACAGAGATGACAGAAATTGTGATATAACAGTTGATGATAGTCTATCAATCTTTTCTGCAAAATGTCGCCCCTTTGGAGCAACAACACTTGTTGAGTTATCAAAAGAAGAGTTTGACATGGTACAATGGTTTGTGTTTCAGAATTGTGAAGAGGTTCAACCTTATATTGAGTAAGCATAAAATTATATTTTAAATATACATACAATATTATTACACTTTTTTTTGTTAAATAACTATATTCAATGCAGGAAGCACAAACAGGAGCTATTATTAGCTGGTTGTAAAAACATAAACCAAGAGCATAGAGAAAAATTTCCTTCGTGGTTCAGAAAACATGTAAAGGCCTTGCAAATACAAAATATTTCATCTTTTTATCTTTACTCATTCTTTTCATTTTAATTAAATTGTTATTTATAGTCGATATTTTATCTTATTCAGATGACCCATTCGTATCATGAGAATCCAGACGAAGCCAATGAAGCTTTGTATTCACTTGCATGTGCCCCAAGCAAATGTGTTAGGAAGTACGCTGGATGTATTGTCAATGGAGTAAGATTTCTAACGAAAGACCGTGATAGTCGTCGTAATACCCAAAATAGCGGTATCTCTGTGGAGGGTAACCACGGTGAAGATACAATAGAATTTTATGGTGTTGTATCTGATATAATTCAGCTTGACTATGTGAAAGATAGGCATATTACCATATTCAAATGTGAATGGTTTGATCTTGGGGGTAGAAAACAAAAAGGATTACAAAAAGAGGGCAATATTGTGAGTGTTCGGATTACCAAAAGATGGTATGAGAACGACCCTTACATATTAGCTAATCAAGCTAGACAAGTTTTCTACATTAGTGATCCTAAATTAGGAAGTGACTGGCGAGTAGTGCAACCATTCCAGCATAGGCATGTTTATGATGTTGATGAGATGCCAGATGATGAAATAGGCCCTAATGATTTGTTTTCTGTGGAAGATGGGGCATACCAAGAGAATGAAGCAAATGATGCACTTGAAGTTAGATTTGATGAGTTAGAATCACTAGGTAGGACTGACATGGATTGTCAAGATATTGAGGAATCAATGATAGAAATACTACCAGAAGTTGCAGAGCTCGTAAACATAGAAGATGTCATTAAAGAAGATGAGCCCGATGACACCTTGGTCGACTATTGTAGTAGTGTAGAAGATTCTGAAAAAAGCAACACTTTTGATAGTGATGACGACAATGATGATTGGGAAGGCTATTGATGGACTAGAAGCTTGAATTTTGCATTGTGGTATGTCGACATTTCACTCGGTGGTTTAAATATGATCAATATTGTTGCTCTAGATGTACTACATTGTGATGACATGTTATAATTGAAAATTTCTTGCAGGTTCTATCTGCTGGGCTGCCGGCTTTCTCGAGTTCTGGTCGAAAGTCAGTTTCTTTTGTTAATGAATTCTTCTTAGTGGCAGGTAAACAAAGATTGAACCTTTTCCTTTTTTCTTGAATTTGTTCTGTGATGTTTTACCGAACGGCAAGCACGTGTAGATTGGTTTTGGTTGTGTGAACTGTGGAGTCTAAAGCTGTTATTTTGCAGATTTAAAACTTTGGATGGCCGACTTTACATTATGATCACTGTGATTTTTTTTTTTAATTCTTATTTCTCCATCTTTTCATTTTGTTCTTATTCGTTTGTGCTGACTATTGTGTAAATTTGAGAAATTTGGTTATGATGTTGCCTTTATATGGAAGTTTTGGGATTTTTGAAACTTTATGCAGAGGTCTCATTATGGAGTTAAGTTGAGTATTGGGAGCAACTGCTGAAGGGATTCTATTTTTTATCAAGCAATTTAGTTTTGCGTCTAAAAATTGAAGTACCCTTTTTCCCTCACAATTTGTTTCGAGTGTCATTTAGCTGTTTGTTACACTGCTTGCCTCTCTAGATTTGTATATTAAAGCATGGTTATTGAGGTTTTGAAATATCTGTACATTTTTTGTGAGAGAAAATTTACCTGAAATCTACTATAGCAATTGGAAGTTTAAGAAGAAGCTATTGAGCTTGTTAGTTAGATGAAATTAGATTGGGTAGATTATATATTTCGCTAGATGAGTTTATTTGTCCTTTTTGACCATTTAGAACCAGAGGATCAATCTATAGTTATTAATGGAGGGAGTGTTGATTAAAATAGGTAGTTATTTTTTTTTTTCTTTTTTTTTTTGTAAGATTTGTCTATTGAAGGAATGGTTTTTGCGTTTCTTGTATGATATGTACAAATTTTTGTTAGAATGAAATTTTGCCTGAAGACTATTATAGCAATTGGAAGTTCAAGAAGAAGTTTTTGAGCTTGATAGATGGATTAAATTGTACTGGGTGGATTGTGTGTATGGATTGATAAATTTTAGGAGTCCTTTTGTACTGTTTAGAACTAGATTATCTATCTATAATAGGCCCGGCAGCAGCTGTTACATCGGTTGCTGGTCAAACGAGACGTGTAAAAACGGCGGCATGGGACAGCAAATCCTGAATGGGACTTTTTACCCTGCCCACAGTTCCAAGAATGCGAATGGGAATGGGAACGAGAAGATGAGCCTGCAGGGGTATGGTCATAAAATGTCGACACTATTGATGGTGTCGGAGGAGGAGGAGGAAGAGGTGAATGTGATGACTGACAATGGCGGTATTAAGAAGTGGCCTCTTGCTGTTGATGGTGGTGTTACAGAGAGGGCTTTTCCGAGGATTTGCATTTGGGATTCCGATGGGGAGGCTGGGGATAAAACGTATGACATAATCGATAATTTGGAGACCTCGATGTTTTATAGAGACGGGTTTGTTATGAATCGAGATGGGATTAAGCAGTTTAGAAGGAATCCCTGTTGTTTTACTGGTGGTGAGGTGAAAAGGCCAGGGAAAATGATTTCGAAAGGGCATAAGAATTATGATTTGATGCTCAATTTTCAGCTGGGTATTAGGTACAGTTGAAATCCATTATGTATATTCTATTTTAGCAAGCTTTTTTTTTTTTTTTTTTTTT